ATTATAAATGCTAAGCAAGCACTATAAATGTTAAATATTTTTATCATCATTATTCAGAGAGATTCTCTAGGTGGTCATGCAGAAGAGAAAAACAGAATCCCTGTGAGGATAAGGTAGTCAGTAGCTCCTAAAAAACCCTCTCCAGACACACTAGTTGAAAAGTCCTGCTCCTGTCTAGAGATCCAGAGGGCGGCTTGCTCTCTTGCTCTCTGTCCTGCCCTCCACCAGGTCTCCTTCTGCGGCCCAGGCAAGGCTTGAACTAGCTAATGTACGGTCATGTAGCCCAGCCTGGAGTCATGCTTGTGATCCTCCTGCCTCGTTCTTCCAAACAGGTGGCTTACAGGCATGGGCCACCATGCCCAGACTATACTGTTCTTTAAAAAGAAGCACTATACATATAGCAGACTTCCTTGGAACACACAGAACTTGGAACCTATCATTTTATATCCAGGCTACTTCAAGAAATTGCTTTAGGGCTAGGGGTTGGCTCAGTAGAAGAGCACCTGCTCCTATGTGAGAAGCTTGATCCTCATAGATAGTAACAAGAAAAAAAAAAAAAAAAACAAACTACCTTATGGAATCTACCCGGCTGCCACAGACATCTGAACTTACCACCCCAGTTAAAATCCTTGGGTTCCACTTCCAGGTCCTAAAGCTCTTATCCTTGGGATACTACAGAGCTCCATACCCTTACAAATCTAGTACCACATAAAGGCTTGTTCTTTAACTTCGGGCAGATCACACTAGAGCTTCCTTATCTTGTCTATGAAATTTTCAGTCACAGGGTAAATGAAAGGACCAGGTAACTTGCCTCGTGTACCATATGCCAAAAATTACGGCTATGTGAAACTTACAAGGATCCACATTCTAAGCTGCACCAATCTATCAAAACTACTACCACTGGGCCAGGTGTGGCGGTGCACCCTGTGATCGCAGCATTGGGGAGGCTGAGGCAGAAGGATTGCTGTGAGTTCAAGACCAGCCTGGGCTACATAGTGAGGTCCAGATCAGTCTCAACTACATAGTGAGACCCTGTCTCAAAAAACAAAAACCAAAACAAACAAACAAAAAACAAAACAACAAAAAAACCTACTACTATTGGGCTAGATTTAGCTCAATGGTGTCCTGCCTGCTTTGCAGTCACAAGGTCCTGAACTCGATCCCTGGTACTGGGAATAAACTAATACTACTATTTCTTTTCTGTTTTTTTCTTTTTTTTTTTTTGGAAACAGGGTCTCACTATATAGCTCAGGCTGGCCTTTAATTCACAGTGATCCTCCTTCCTCAGCCTCCTGAGTGCTGGGATTACAAACATGCAACTACTACTTTTTTTTTTCTTATTGGTACTGAAGCCCACAGGGAAAAACCAAGTACAAAGTTACCAAAAATATCTTTTCTCTTTTAAATTAGACAGAGCTAGTTACAATGACTGGTTACATCACCTTGATCAGCTGTTATTTTGTATTCAGTTTCCACTGGGAAATGATAATGTGCCTAGTATAAGCAGGCATGATGCAACCCAACCTTTGTTTCAACTACAACTTTATGAAGACACTTTACTTTTTAAAAAGAAATAAGGGAAAGGATTATTAGGAAAATGCCAGTATAAACTGAGTATCCCTAACCTGAAAATCTGATATTCCCCAAGTCTCAAACTTTTTAAGGGCTGAATGGCATTATAGTTAAGAGGAAACTTCCACACCTGACTTCATGTGAGGTAAAGTCAAAACACAGGCACACCAAAAATAACATATAAAATTATCTCCAGACTGTATATACGAAACATAAATGAATTTAGTGTTTAGATGATTCCCATCCCCATGCTATCTCATTGTTTATGCAAACATTATACAACATAACAAATTCTGAAATTCAACAGTTCTGGTCCCAACAATTTCAGACCAAGGAATACTCAACCAGTATCTCAAGCCAGATGTAAAAATATCTCTTAAAACCAAAGCTCTGCAATGTCCAGAGAGGTTCCAAATGTGTTTATTTTTTACCCTCTTAGATTTTAATTGAAACATCATTAATCATAGGATTTCCTTTTTGTTATAAAGTTCTGATCTAAGAGCTCTGAACACCAAACTCTGAGTGTTAACTCTAATACAAATGAAATAGCTAAAAGGGGGAAAAGAACAAGCACTGGGGCCGGGGATTTAGCTCAGTGGTGCCACACCTGCCTCCCAAGTGCAAGGTGCTAAGTTTGCTCCCCAGTAAAGGTATGCGTATGTGTGTGTGTATTGTGTGTGTAAACCAAGGAAAACGATGTAGCTTTGCAAAGCCTCTGTGGTTTCCATGCTCTTAATCAAATTTAGGTCAAGCAGCTTGTCAGTATGGCGGGGGGGGGGGTTGCTCATGTTTCTGTCTTGAAATGCTTATTGGCTTGGGTGGCAGTTTATACTTGTTTTGTAATACTCTGGTATACTGTATGGAATGGCTCATATTTTTAAAAAGTAAGGGATTCTGGAGATTTCCATCATATCAATTATGCTTTATTTCTTTTAGAAATAAGAGGGGCTAGGACCCAGGATTTAGCTCAGGAGTGCCGCCACCTACCTTGCAAAAGCAAAATCCTGAGTTCGATTTCCAGTAACAAAAAAACAATAACCAAACCACAGAAATATGAGGGGCTGAGAGTAAGGCAAAGCACTTTTTAGCACCTGAGGCCCTGGGTTCAATCCTCAGCACTGCAAACAAACAAAGTTTTTGTTAAAGTATGTTCAATGTGAGATGTGGGTACATGAGGATGCATTAATTTGCTGTATGTTTGCCAAGGGCCCAAGTTATTTTGAGCTGATAAAGAAAATGAAAGTAAACAGAAAAAGATGAATTAAATTAAAGCAAAATCTTGGATTAAATTTAACTATTTAACTTGTTCTATTCTTCAATTGTTTTTTTTTAAATTCATTCCATGACTCATTCCAAAAAGATAAAAATATTTTAATGCTGCTAAGTCAAACACCTAAATTTACTAGCTTTTGAGGAATGAGGGAGCACCTGATTCATAAAATATATGCCTGTTATTTATCTGTTAAATTTGTTTGTTTGTTTTTGAGACAAGGTCTCCCTATGTAGTCCAGGCTGTCCTTGAACTCACTGTTTAGCCCAGGCTGGCCTTGAACTAGGAGCAATCCTCCTGCCTCAACCTCTCCAGTGCTGGGATCACAGGCATACGCGGCGTCACCACACCTGCTCATCTGTTAAATTTAAAAATTTACCCTTTTTTCCCATTTACCCTTTTACCCTTTTTTCCATTTACCATTTACCCTTTTTTTCCATTTCCTGTAATTGCAATCAAAGATGGGCAGTGTATATCCTGAAGTAAACATGTATTTTGAAGTTTCTCTCTCTAGGATTGCCATCTGCTTCTCATCCAGTAGGTAATGACTTCTAAAATAAGAACTACCTTGGCTCTGCTTCTTCCATCAAAGCGAATTAAATAATGGACCAAATTATGCCAAGACAAATGATTACTAGAACCCAGCACATACAGAGATCTAAATAACTGAGATGCAGCTAGGTATGGTGACTCATGGCTGTAATCTCAGCACTTAGGAGGCTGAAGCAGAAAGACTGCCACAAATTTAAGGCCTGCTTGGGTAACACAATGTGTCCAGCCTAGACCAATGAGATCCTGTCTCAAAAAAAAAAAAGCATAAAATAATTCTTTGAAATAAAGTTTCAAAGTTGTGGGCCCATAGCTTCAATATGCTTGGAGAATGATTACTCTGACTACTCAGAATGGAGGAGGATACATACACTTATGTGATTACACACACACAGGCGCGCGCGCTTATATAAAACAAACAGATATAGAATTTTACCTTCAGACCAACATTTTCTAAAGGGTAAAAGGGAGTAAATAAGAGAAAGGGGATTAAAGGGGGAATCAGATGTGTCATTCATGTACATGTACCAACTACCCATGGGGAATGTAATTACTATGCAAACATGCACTCCCCCCAAAATAAAACTGGAAAACAAAAAGGGCAAAGTATTGGACAAGAAAAGTGGAAGAAGAGAAAAAAACTAATATTGCAACATACAAAAGTCTAGAAAATGCAGAGTACATAGTGAGAGCTCAAGAAACTCCAGTGGAATTGACTTTGAGAGAGAGGTGTTGGTGCTCTACACCTCACTACTCAAACCGCAGGTATTGGTTTACAGCTGTGCTGTGGGTACCATCTGAGGATCCAGAAATGATTAGTATATGCAAAACAGCTACAACCCCATAAACCACATTCTTTCTACCACGTTAGCATTTAGCTTTTAAGCCTTATACCACTCTAAGAATATCAGTGAGTTGGCAGTTACTGAGCAAATCAGACCTAGATTCCAAATAAAGATTGAAATCTGGAATGTCATAAGCAAAACGGAAGCTGAAACTCTTTTTTTTTTTTTTGGTACTAGGGATCAAAACAAGGTCGGAAGCATGCTAGACAAGACGTCTATCACCGAACTACATCCCCAGCCCACTAGGTCAACCTTCTGCTGGCCAAGGATTCGTAGACTCATATTTCTCTTCCCAACAAAAAAGATGATTCCCCCACCCCTGGCAAATCATAAAGTAATCACTTCATTGACTCAGTGGGTGGGACCAGAATCAGAGAACTCGCTTAAGACCCAGAGATCCGCGACAAACCAGCCAGAAAGCTTATCTAAGTTTCTAAAGCCCCTAAACTCCTCTACACATAGTCTTCCTCCTCTACCTGCGGGCTGAAGTTTACAGCGAAAGCCAGAAACTACAGGCGCTAGATTCCACTAGGCGCCAGGAGGGGCTCCCTCAACTGCTATCCCCCAACTCTGAAACATCCAAACCACTAAGTTCCTGTTGCAAGGGTAACCACGCTTGCGAAACTCTTCCACAGGAAGGGTTCCGTTTCCTGTCCCAAGCCTCAAATTCCCAAGAGCCCAAACCCAAGCAAAGGAACTAAGTGGTCCAAGTCCACGGGCCACATATCCCATACCTGAAAACCGGGAGTTCGGCTGCTACTTACGGGCACATTGTTGACACCTTGTCCTTTGGAAGCTATCAGGAGAATTTCCCTGAAGTCCATGTTCGGCCGAGGGGAAAGAGACTGGGTCCAGCACTCGGAAAGGAGTGCAAGTGCGCCTTGCCGAGGCGCCCGGCGACGCCGAGTGAACTGGCTCGGCAGCCCTCTCCCACCCTCCACCACAGGACCACTTCCGTCGCCTTCCAATGCCGTCTGCCCACCCGCTTTGCTTCGGCAGCTTATATCTTCCCAGCGGCCCCGCAACGCTCAGAGTCTCGCGTAACTTCCTCTTTCAAGCCCGACACACGTAAAACGCGATACGTGGCTGCTGGCGTCGGCTCAAGGGGCGGGGCCAACCCCTTGCCAGCCTACGAGAGGCGGCCTGCGGGGTGTGGCTAAAGGACTGGGCGCTTCCTGTGTCGCGGGCCTACCCGGCCTGCTGGTGTTGGGGTGGCTCGTAAACTTTGTTGCGGAAAGAGAGGCGTGGGGATTACTTGCCCGGGTGGGCGCCCACATCCGAAACGCCTACGCCTCAACTCCGGAAGCAGTAGGTCTGGAGCTGGGAAATTCGGTTACCCTTTCTGGACCGTCGGGAAGCCGCGCAGGCGCACAGGGCACAGGCTGGTCCTGGACCCGCCGTACCCGGCGCTTCCTGGCACGTGGTGTGCGTTCGCGGCTAAACAGAGGCGCACACCCTGGGCTTCCACCCGGGCGATCCCCCCTTTGCCCCTTTTAGATAATAAACGCCGGGTAGGCCAGCCCTCCTGTGGTTTAGCTCGGAAAGAATGAAGGGATTCCTTGTACGCAACCAGCCTTGACATAGTTTTTTTTTTACAAATAAACTTTGTTTTTTTCCCATTCTTTCCCCCTCAGCCGCGACGTACTTTGATGCGCTGATGAATGTATACACCCCATCTTCGTAGTCACTACGAGTCTAGTCTTCGCTTCTATTGGAAAATCATCGTGGGTCTACAAGGTCACATCCACACAGTGAAACACATGTAATTAAGCAAATCTGGGTGTCGGGGTGCACCCGGCTAGGAATTGATAGATAAGGGTATTAAGGACCTTTTCGGTGTATTGAAAATGGCCCGAAACTGGATTATGGAAACGATCGAACAGTTTGTCAAAAAGTCACTGTAAGCACAAAGGAGTGAATTTCAGAGTATAAATTATAAGTTCCCAAAAATTAAAATATTAGGCAAAACTTTTGGGCCTTAGCTGGGCACGCAGTGCACAGGAGGACTGCAAATTGGAGCCCACCCTAGGTGTTAGTGACTTAGTGAGACCACGTCAGAGAAAAGAGGGCCAGGAATTTAGCTCAGTGGTACTGCAGCCTACCTCGCAAGCACAGGGTCCTGAGTTTGATTCCCAGTACTACTACTACTGGTACTACTAACTAGGGCTCTTTCAACTGGCATTTAATGACGAATTGAAATGTGTCCCTTTCAGGCTTCATTAACATTTGTAGTTATATGGAGACTTAGCCAGGGTGTAATATTTTGGAAAAAAAAAATCGAATCTTAAATTCCTTATATGTAAAAAGGTAAAACAGAGATCTCTGAGTTTCCTTCAGGTGGTTCTTTTTCCACCAAGAAGAACAATCCTTCCATAGTTTCCCATTGTTCATAGGATAAATCCTGACCCGACCCTTAGCCACAGCCTGAAGTGACCCACTCCGATTGGCCTTGACCAACTTCTCCAACATTTTCAGCTCAGCTCTTTCATTTCCTTAAGTGTGACAAGTTCTCTTCCACTCCGGTGACACAATCACAACATCAGGCAGAAAGTCCTTAACAAGCTGGAGACAGGCAGTTGGGGGCTACTTGAAAAGCAAAAATGTGATTTTTTTTCTTCACCTACTTAAACATTAGCTCTAGATAAGATCCCCACAAGCTTGTGGTCTCAAACTTGAGCTCAAGAGAGTGTCATATCTCTCAGTGTGCTGATAAGATTCAGGATCCGGTAATGTTCAGACTATTCTTGAGGGGTTGGAAAAACCTTAAAGATCTTAAAGTCTTAAAGCAGACTAAATGAAGACGTGCTGGGGATCTAGCTCAGTGGTGCTGCTGCCTGCCTTGCAAGCGCAAGGTCCCGAGTTCGATCCCAGTACCAAAAATAAATAAATGAGGACATCCACCTAAGAAATAAACAAGGAACTACTCTTGGAAATGGGTAAGCACAGCCCATTCTATTTGTACAAGAATAGTAACGTTGTCACGGATGCTAAAGAGGCAGGACCCTGGGCCCTTACAGGCTGCCCATTAAAAATCTGATTTGTATTTTTCTGGGACAGCCAAGGATTTAAAAACTTTTTTTTTTTTTTTTTTTTTTTTTTTGGTACAACCAACTCTTCACTTAGGCCTGCAGTTGCCCAATAAGTAACTAAAAGTAGAGCAGTTTGACCTCATTTTGTATCCTTTGTTGCTTAAAGCCTGTTCTCAGCTCTACATATGGACACATTGTGAGAAATGGATTTATTTGTGTAGACCCAATCCCCAAATAATTGGACTCTAGAGGCAGCACAAGGAGACTTTAATCCACACTCCTGCCGGAGTGGTGGCAGGACACACAGGCGCACCAGCATGGAGAAGCTGTGTCCTTTTGGCCAGCTCACCAGAGTCCCTCCCTCACCTCCCATGGTCTGGAATCTGGGGTTCACAGTGTGTCCTGGATCTAGCTCAGCCCACACCTATTACTTCCATCCCCACCTTTCCCATTTTGCCCTTTCCTCCCTCTGGATTTCCTTTTGTAGTTATTTACAGCCTTTTGGTTTCTCAGGAGCATAAGTCAGGATGAGTTGGTTAGCGCTGTCTCCTACTCCAGCACCTTGTCTCTGGTATGAGTCTCTTTACAGCCTATGTGTCCCTATCCACTATATGACCCAGGTAATTCTGTGAAATGGGGCTCATAGAGTGGTTAATGAAATATGGGCCAATTAAACATATTGGTATCTGTTACATATGTGAATCAGGGAGCACCTGTCTAAAAATAGGCAGAGCAAGGTTGATTTGCCAAGTTTATATAATTTCACCCCCTTCAGGACCTGGAACACCAGGATAGGGGATTTCCAGGGAACCTTACTATGCCAGAGAATTCTCAACCTGTGACCAACTAGGAATGAAACTGTCCCTGGGCCATAATGATTCCAACACTGTGACACTAGGGCTGAAATAATGGTCAACTAGACCCCAGCCCACAGTTAATGCATAAAAGCTGGCCTCCCACCTTTGCGGGTGCCTCCTGCTGCTGCCTAAATTGAGCCCTTTCCTATCTCTCCTCTAACTTTCTAATCAAAGCTTTGTCCTGTAAATTTGTGCTTTAGTTTTCATTTTCATTGTTACTGAAAACAAGCACCCAAGCCAGAGGTGACACCAGGGCCTTTGCATATACTCTTCTCCATCTGCTGTATTCCCATAATCCATTTGCTGGGCCAGCCCCAACTCATTTTCTCACAAGCCTCTGGTGGGTGGTCATGTAGATTCAAGTGCCAGCACGTTGATTCCTTCGGTATTGATTATTTGGTATTTTCTGTACCTGAGTGCTATAATGTATAAAATTAGGTAATGATGGGTTACTGCAAAATAATACATTTAAGGGTTATAGATTAGAATCTAGTTGTGATGGGCAAAGTTACGCATCCTCTGCTGAAATCCTACCTCCTAGCACCCCAGAGTGTGACTGTATTTGGAAATAGGTCTTAAGGAAGTAATCAAGTAAAAATGAGGTTCCCAGTGATGAATGTAACTGTACTGTATACCTAAAATGTACCAATAAACTTAAAAAAAAAAAAAGTAAAAATGAGGTCATTAGCCAGGCTGGATGGAGCACACCTGTAACCTCAGCTTTTGACTCTTTGTGTTTTTCCCCCCACCCTTTTTTGATACTGGGGATAGAACTTGGGACCTTGCGCTTGTGAGGCAGGCGGTGTCCCCCCACTTTTTTGACAGGGTCTTACTATGTACTTTAGGCTGATCTTGAACTCACTATGTAGCCCAAGTTGGCCTCAAACTCTAGACAATCCTCCTGTCTCAGCCTCTCAAGTGCTGGAATTACAGGCATGTGACACCACACCGGGTTAACTTCAGCTATTTGTGAGGCTGAGGCGGGAGGATTGCAAGTTCAAGGCCAGCCTTGGTAATTTAGACTTTGTCTCAAAATAAAATTTAAACGGTAAGAGTAAGGGATGGAGCTCCAGGGAAAAAGACCCCCCTGGCCAGCATGTGCAAAGCATTGGGTTCAATCCCCAATATGAAGAAAAAAAAAAAAAGAGAAGGAAGAAAAAGTCATTAGGATGGATCCCAATGCAATAGAATGTGTCCTAGAGGAAGAACAAATATACACATGGCCAAGTACAGAGGGAATTCCATGTGAAGACAGAGAAAAGATGCCCGTGTGCAAGTCAAGGAGAAAGTCTTCAAGCTCCTGACACCATGATCTTGAACTTCTAGCCTCCAGAATTTCTACTATTTAAGAAAAAAAAAAAAAGGCTGGGCATGGTGGTACATGCCTGTAATCCCAGCACTTGGGAGGCTGAGGCAGGAGGATCTCTCAGAGTTGAAGGCCAGCCTAGGCTACACAATGAGTTCAAGATCAGCCTGAACTATATAGTGAGACTCTGTCTGAAAAAGAAAAGAAAAGGGCTGGGGATTTAGCTCAGTGGTGCAGCTGTCTGCCTTGCAGGCACAAGGTCCTGAGTTCAATCGCCAGTAACAAAATAAAAGAAAACAAAAAACAAAAAAGAAAAGAAAAGAAAGCACCAGGGAGCTCAGTGGTGCAGCCACTTGCCTTCTTGCAAGTGCAAGTTCCTGAGTGTTTGATCCCTAGTACAAAAGAAAAATACACTGGTGCACTTATTTTTCCCTGCTGGGAACCAAACCAAGTACTTTGTGTATGATTACATTCTTGGCCCACAAGAATCTTTTCTCAAGGAAGGTGTTTCTGATGGACTAGCTCAGTGTGTCCCTTTTTCACATTCTCACAGCCACCAGTATTTTCCTTCACAGAATGTTTCGCAGTTTGGAATTTCACATTTATTCATGTTCTTTTTTTCAAACAAGTGGCAATCTCTCAGGCTAGTTGATGAGGTCTGTGAGAACAGGGAAAAGCCCATTTTACCCATCACCAGCACAGTTCTCTGCCCACAAACATAAAAGCTGCAACTGACCTGGCATGGTGGTGGGTGAATGCTGCTAGCACTCAGCATTCAGGAGGCTGAAGCAGGAGGATTGCTGTAGAGTTCAAGGCCAGCCTAGTCTACATAGTGAGTTCAAGGCCAGCCTGAACTACATAGTGAGACCCTGTTAAAAAAAA